TAAAATCTCTAGTTTTCCTGCTTTCATCAATAATCTCTTTATATTACAATATATAGATATCAGGATGGGGAATGTTAAAAATATAGTTCATTTTTGTTTGTAATTAAATTATTTTAGTCTGATAGCCATGAAAGAATAATAAGAACAGTTTTCAGATTAAATATTACTTGTTGATTTTATTTTATTTTTTCTATAAAATTATGTACTCTCCTTATTACTCACCCTAACTCTTTTACACATAGATTGCATGCATCAGACTTTATATACTCAGTACCACTTAAAATTTATCTACATATATAGCTGGCAAGGGATGCAAATAATGAGGAAGAAAAACTTCCTAATATGTGTGTATGTATTGGCACTTTAGATTCCATGCTTGGATTTTGTGAGAAGGAAAACAACAAACTTCTTACATCAGTTTAAAGCAACAGGCAACTAAACAATCCTAGGAAAAGAAATCGTTGCTTTTAAAAAATTGTAGGCACTTGTTAAAGCCACACTTACGTAGGTTTCCAAGCACTTTTTAAATAAATAATATATAGAGAAATATATAGAGAGAGTGTTTGTGTGTACATATAAGGAATTCCCTTTTGTGATAACTTGCAGTTAGTGATTGATTGAGGACCTGGATTGTGGGGGCAATAAACCAGCTTTGTATAGAACAACACCGCTTAGGGGGGGCCGAAATCCCTAATAAGCAGGTATATACATAAAAGTATGCAGGCTATTGCTGTAATGCATTGTAAGCCACCCTGAGTCTATGGAGAAGGGCGGCATATAAATTGGACTAATAAAAATAAATAAATAAAATTACAGAATTAACCAATGCTATAACTTGTTCCCTTTATACATTTGAATATTTAGAATCTTTCAGTGTGCCCTGAAGATGAATCCATCATTATGTCCTCTTTTGTAAACACTATGACCTCCTTGAGTGTGAAACAAGGTAAGTGTGTGTGTGTGTGTGTGTGTGAGAGAGAGAGAGAGAGAGAGAAAGAGAGAGAGAGAGAGATTTAAAAGGAGTATGGTTTAGGTGAGTTCCATAATCTTTATTTCTCATTAAAATCTACTCCCTTACACCATGGAGTGGGAGAAGAATAGAAATCTTGTCAGCTATCCACATTTTTCAAGATCTTAATATATACAAATGATATTGTGGTGTTTGAACCTTTAGTATATCTTATTTCTTTATTATTCATTCATTCAGTGAAAGTGTTCTTGCATGAAATTGCTGGTTCCTACCTTTCATCATTCTGAACAACATTATACATACAAACATAGAGAGAGGTATATGTTTCATGCAGCTGTTTTAACCAAGTGAATAAGTCTCTTTGAACAATTTTGAATAATAAATGTCTTCGACATTCTTTTTTTCCTGCATGTGTTTTTGAAAGCAACTGCCCATTGTCACAAACTGAGCTGTCAGTCTTTTATTTTCAAATATAAACTCACTTAGTTCTAGATAACGCTAATCTTCAAAGCTAATGTGGCATTATCTTTGCCTTTGCTTGATCTGTTTTATTTACTATCAAGTGTTTGTGCGATGTCCAATGCAGGTAAAATTGGCACAGACTTTAACTTCAGAAGATTCCTTGCAAAGTATTTTCAGGAACTAAGAACTCTCTATAGAAAACTACAGATATAACTTCTGTCTCCCTGAACATTTTGACCAGCAGTGTTTCAGGACAGTTGTCTGATAAGAATCATCTGGAGTTTCTAAAAGCTTAAATTGAAACTTAGATTTTCTCAATTTAAATTTCAGTTAGTTATATAAACTGATGTCCATTTAGCGAGTGTAGAGAGTTTTGCATAGGACTAAAATTAATCAGCAAAATTCTGATATTAAATACAAGAATTGAGGGATTATCTTCATTGTGCATTAATAGTGTGTTACAGAGTTAATTTTTCATTTCCTTCTTTGCTGCAGTTGAAGATGGAGAGGTATTTGACTTCAGAGGAATGAGGCTTGATTGGTTTAGATTACAGGTAAGAATTATCTTATTGTACTTAAATGCAACGTTTTGGGTTTTTTTCTGATCTAGAGTCTAATCATTTTCAGTCAAGCCAATAATTTTTAAGTATTTGATTTCTTATTTTCCGATCTATATTTCCTGAGCATGTTAATTTATTAAATAATAATAAAAGAACTTAAATGATTAAAGCTACCATCCTGCTCTGCTAGCAAAAAAGTATGTTTGTAATATCTTCTCATGCATGTATGGTAAATGGAATAATTTGCATATGACTAGCTGTGTTTGGTTATTTGGAACAAAATAATATCCAAATTAAAATTAACAGGCCTAGATCTAGAATTTTTCCAATAGAATTGATAATTCCTAAATAGAGATGTTTTTAGAAGTTGCCTACTTTATTGTTTCATATAATACACATAATGTGAGGATAAAACATACTATCCATTCATATAGTTAGAGAGCAGAATATAAAAGCCTAAGATTGCTTACATGGCCTCTGCCTGGTGATAGGAAGGATAGTTTCTCAAAGATTTTATTGATTTTCAGTTGTTAATTTTTAAGTATATTCCAAAATCTGCAATTAAATATATATATGTATATAATAAAAATACACAACATTGATCTGATTCAACCAATTATATCTTGGTTTAAATGTGAAATATGCCCAGATTTTAATGGACATTTCGTTCTGTGTCTTTTATGGTGGGCGAAACAAATCAATGTGTCCATGATTAATTAATCATCTCCCATCTCATAAGCGTAGGATATGTTTTATATTGCAATAATTCATGGCTTTAAGACAAAAAGTTCTTTGATTAATCTTTGACATGAATTGGTTTGCTGTGGTAGTCTTCCTACATTTATTGCTATTACATGGCATTACACTGATTTGTGCTGGCATAACTTCCCTATATGATTTCATTGATTCTTATTGGACGTGCTGAAAAGAGTTCATGGTAGTCCAATATCCTGTATTGGGCTTTAAGAGCAATGTTCAAATTAGATTTTTTTAAAAAACTGCTTTGGTGTCAGGAAGTAGGATGCTATTAAATCAAACATTGATTCTCTGTGAGAGAGTTTCAGTAAAAATACAAGCTATTCTGGCAAGGCCTTGTAGAGACTGGTCAATTGACAGAACTGCTTCCAATTTGTGATTGCTTGTGCTAGCCGTATCTGGGCAGAAGAAGCATTTGCATAAGTATATGAACCATTCATTTATGTTCACGTAACGTGACAAGCTAGTGTCACTTCTCTAACCATCTACAAATCACCGCGTCAGTCTTTGGAGTATTGAATATGTGAGCCGTGGTGGCACAGTGGTTAGAACAATACTGCAGGAGTTCAGTTCTGAGCTGCTCAAGGTTGACTCAGCCTTCAATCCTTCCGAGGTCGGTAAAATGAGGACCCAGATTGTTGGGGGCAATATGCTGACTCTGTAAACTGCTTAGAGAGGGCTGTAAAGCCCTATGGAGCGGTATATAAGTCTCTGTGCTAGACTTTATATAATTTTGGCATTATATTTTCTAGAAGCTCTAAAATGCATAGTCATCTTAATCTGGAGAACAAGCCATTTCATAAAATAAACATTATTAGTCATTTAGACGTGGCCCTTGTTTAAAGCAAAAGGACGGGGTAACACTAGATTATTTGAAGATATGTGAAATAAAGTGTTACAAATAGAGATATGTAATAACAGTTGTATAGCCAAATCAGTTTAGAGAAGGTTTTGTGGCTTGTTCTTGATTAATTTATTGCACGTACCCCAAGTGTATCCTTGTAGAAAGATCCCGTTGTTAAACCCAAATCAGTTTTCCTTGTAAGTTGCTTTTGAGATAATGTGTAAAGTCTGGTTTTCCTCAGTTGTTCAAAGAACAAGAGTTGGAAGAACATACTAGTCTTTTTATCTAATGTTGGATTTTTTTTTTTTTCAAATACTACAGGAGAATATGCTTAAAAAATTAATTCTGCATTTGGACTTAGGTTTTTGGCTGTAAACAAACTTAGAATTTTTTAACATACAGTTTCAAGTAACATTTATTTCATTGCTAATTGGCACATTACTATTTTGATCTGATTTGGCTTTCATCCCACTTTATAAAAATATTGAAGCAATAAATGCTTTTTTATAAGGAAAATAAGTAGCTTCCATAATTCTGGATTGAGCTGATAAATAAAAGTAACTGGGAAAATAGTCTTCCTAGGTTCTCAAATGACTCTTATCAATTTACTCATTTGTAATTACCATTGTAAAAATAGATTGTTTATGCACAAAAAGTTGTTAAGGAGCATTTTGACATTTTCCAAATGGAGATTGATAAAAAGTGACCTGTCCCAAGTTAAGCAAAATATAACAGAAGCATATTTTGTTTTATTTTTCATTCCGTTTTATTACATAAATACTTCCATATAAATGGTGACAGATTCTCTCAGAGGTCTTAACCTGGGATCCCTCTTTTGTTTATTTTCCTTGTGTTGTTTTACATTTACAGGCTTATACTAGTGTGTCCAAAGCGTCACTTAGTCTTGCTGACCACAGAGAACTTGGAAAGATGATGAATACAATAATTTTTCACACAAAAATGGTAGACTCTTTGGTTGAAATGTTGGTTGAAACATCAGATCTTTCTATATTTTGGTACGTTATTTAATTTAGTTCTGAACTTCTAATATTTGTCCAACTCTAAAGAAAATGTACAAATTATGAAATACTGTAAAATGTCTGCTGTTAACATGATTACATTGCATTCTTGCTACGAAATTGCAGTTTATTCTTGTGTAGGACCCACTTAATTCAATAGAACAGATGTTTGAATAGAGGTTAAAGAATGCACGTATTAGTACATATTATGAGCTACTTCTATTCAGAGATTGGAAAGAAACCATTTTAATCTGGATTTTAGTCCTTTGATACAACAAAAGAGTGGGAATACAGCTACTGGTTTTATTAAATTGTATCAGTTTAATCTAGTTGATTAAACTGGCCTCTCTGCCATGCTATTGCTTATATACTTGTTGACAGTAGCATACCTGAGGTGGGAAGAAATATATCTTGTGTGGAGACCATAAGGGGGATGTTGCCAAAGACAAGAAGTCTAGCGATGGGTGTAGAGTTGGGTCATTGCTGCCAGCCATGCCATTTATCTGCTTGGCAGTTGGTGGTGGAATGCAACAACAAAGGGGGGGAAATTGTGCCATCCAATCAGTTTTGACTCTTGGACACTGCCCTTTGCAGTTTTCTTGGCAGCATTTTAAAAAAGTAGATGTGTAAAAAGGGCTGAGTGAGAGTGACAGGCCTAAGGTCTCCCAGCTGACTTTGTGCCTAAGCCAGGAATAAAACTCAAATGTCCCCATTTCTAGACTGGTGCCTTAACCTCTATACCAAACAGGCAATGGGACACAGGTGTACCCTTTTTCATTATTTTGCTTTTATGTTTTATAATCAAAATCCACTCAGAAACATTCTTCTGCAGTTGATACTGGGGTGAATTTTTAAAAGATTGTTCTGCTCTTTTTTTCTTTCAAGAGGACCATGATGACTTATTTATTTCATAAATATTTGAATTGGAGATTGATTCTGTTGTAATTTATTATTGCTCTAAATATATTTATTCCTCTAATTGTATTAGAATAATTCTATTGTATTAGAATAAGTCATATCGTGTTTCAGTCTTTAGATGGTTTCAGCTATTGTATAAATAGAATATAGGATACAATTTCTGGTATGTTAAATGTATGCACTTAGTAGCATGTTTTATACTGTTTATTGATATAAAACACTTTCTCCAAGTAAAATGAAAATGATTCATGATTCTGAACAGTTTTTACAGTCGTGCTTTTGAGAAGATGTTTCAGCAGTGCTTGGAATTGCCCTCCCAGTCCAGATACTCAATTGCATTTCCGCTGCTTTGCACTCACTTTATGAGCTGCACCCATGAACTGTGCCCAGAAGAGGTAATACTGTGACTTAAAGTATCTCTTGCATAAGTAGAGAGAGAAGCTGAAGGATCATACTGTTTTTATGTATATAAAGGCAAGACTAGATTAGGGTGTCTGCTTCATTAGCCACAATGAATCTGGTTGAACCACAGTTCAAAATTTTGTCTGTTGTATTAGAAATTCCTCCATTTTTGACAAATAAAAAACAGAGAGGGCTGGTTATGAATTCACTCATACACACATATAGATAAATACATTACATTTTAAATCAGTGTTCACATGTGCCAACTAGTTTGTTAAAACATTTACACCTTCCATCTCCATAAGTGACCCTTTGGACAGCAGAAACTTAAAATACATGGGACATAAGTTGATACATGATACAAAGACTGGTTCAGGTAGAAAATCATGGTTCCTATCAGACCAGCCTGACTTAGTCTGCTTGTGGCAATGTTGAAGAAAAGGGGCAAAATTGTTTTAGAGGTAATATGTCAGAAAGTAAGGAATGCATTTCTGTATCGTCCCCCAACTCGGCAAGATTTCAGAAAAGACAGATAATTCTTAGCTGATTAGTTTCATTCCTTCTAAGTTAAGGATTTTTAAAAATGTGTGGTATAAAATTATTCATATTGGAGTGGAAAGAGGTTAGCTAGGTATAGTAAGAATGCATGTCATCTCTTTAATGTTAATACTTTTGAAGGGAGGTCTAGCCATGTGTACTCAATATATTTGTTTATGCATTAGATTTATATCCTGTTGCTCAATGTATATAACCAAATACTTTAATATAGTGACTAAACTATAAAGAATAATACCTATTTGCTGTGGTGTTAATTCAAATCAATTTTAAAAGCTATTTTCAGTGAGTATTAATGATCCTAATTTTAAAAGAGTAGAAATAAATTGAGAATTGATTTATCTATCTTGATAGAGACACCACATTGGTGATCGCAGTCTCTCCTTGTGTAACATGTTTTTGGATGAAATGGCTAAACAGGCCCGGAATCTTATCACAGATATTTGTACAGAGCAATGTACCCTAAGTGACCAGGTGAGAATTAATTCTCGTTATTTTGTACTGTAACTAAATGAAACTTGGTATTATGCAATAATTACACATTCTTTGTTTATCCCTGCCTGAAACCCTTGTCTTCCATAGTTTACCTTGTCCCCCACTCACATTGAAATGCCCTTTGGGCACAAACCTGTTTTTCCCCCTCCATTCTATGTGAAATGTCACCTACATAAAATGAAAAATATATAAAGTAAGAAAAAAAACTTGAATATTTGTGAGATCATCTATCTCCAATTAACTGTTCATCCTACAAGATCTGAAAGGATTGGCATGCTTCAGGTCCAGTTAATTAAACGGAACTACCTCCCAGGGTCCATGGGGTGCATATTCTCTCTTAAAGCACCTACCCTATGGAACAACAGACATCCCCAATACTAAATTGGCCCTACCCCTGGCAAGTTTTAAGAAGACCCTGAAGCCTTAGTTCTGATGTGAGCCAGTTGATAAACCTGCTGGAATAATAAAGGGTGCGTGCCTAGTCTCTGGTTTAATGTGTTTTACTATATGATATTTGAGTTTACCATGTTCCGTATTGTAACATTTTAACCCTTGTTAGCCACTCAAAGTCAACATGGCTATGGTGGGGGAGACATAAAATTGGATGGATAGATGAGCAGACAATCCTAACAATTTAGATATTGTTACATAATATAATATTAAATTCCAAATAAAGTCTTTTTCATAATAATCCAGTCTTTATATCCATCAGAAACCAGCATAGCCTTTCATAATTGGAATAGATAGAAATTAGAATAAAATCGTTTTTCAATCCTAAATGTTGTCATTACTACATTGCAAGTGGGTAAAATCCTGGAAATGGACAGTCTTACTCAAATCTTCAAAGGCAAAATGATAGTGAAGGTATGAAGTGCAGTATTCCAAATGAAATTAGGGATGGTTTTTTTTTGTTTTTTTTTTTGTAAATTGTAACTGGTTTTTGAATTTTTTTTTCCTCTCCTTTTTTAAGTTACTGCCAAAACATTGTGCCAAAACTATTAGCCAAGCAGTGAACAAAAAGTCAAAGAAACAGACGGGTAAGAAAGGAGAACCAGAAAGAGAAAAACCAGGAGTAGAAAGCATGAGAAAAAATAGGCTGGTAGTGACCAAGTGAGTAATTTTGAGATCATTTATATTTAAGTAGATATTTGTCTTAAATTTTCTTCTGTCTTTTATATACATACATAAATATTGTGCTGTTCCCTTTCAGGCTAAGTAGTGCTGTGCAAAAGGCAAAAAAGGAGGGAGGAATAGTTAAAAGAAACTACTTAAAAGCACAAGATAAAAGGAAGGAGAGGAAATATAGCTAAATATATTTTGCAATTGTACCATTCACTATACCTCCCCATAGCTTTCTATCCTTGAAACCATCCTTGTTTCTACCATGTCACATATGATTTCATTCCCTATTCCCTCCTTCCTTTTTGAGAATATAATCAACTCCATCAACCGCACCTTTCTTAGAGGAGAGGTAAGATTAGCCTATCCATCTTCTCTTGAATCAGGCACTGTCCTTTTATATGTGACCAAACCATCACAGCATTGCCTTTTTTTTTTTTTTTTTTTTTTTCACTCATGTACAGTATTCATTCTATAATTATTTATCACTCACCTTGGTGTTTAATAACTTAATTTGATAGTTTAATTTTCAGGCCCATGCTTTAATTTACACCATATATCTACCTGCTGTTCTCTGCATTGTTCAGGATTCTATTGTGTTTTACAAAAGCATGTGGACATTCATAATGCCAACAAATATAATCTATAACATCATCATAAACACTTTCATAAATATATTAAAAAACCAGGGAACATTTCACATCTTTGTCTTTCTCCCCGATTTTGTGTTGAATCATTTGCTAAACATTCCATTCTCTCGCATGTTCTGTCATATACTAGTGTTACTACATTAATTATCCGATTTTCAGTTGCATATTTGCAGAAAATATTCCAGAATTCAGTTCTATTCACTTTATCAACAGATTATCTGAATCAACAAAGGAAACGTTTCTCATATTTTACCTCAATTACTGCTACAGAGCACTAATTGGTCTGCATGCTTCCTACCCAGTTAAACTTAACAATATGTTCCAAATTTAGTTTGTCACCTCTTGGACCTTATCAATGAGAATCCTGTTTAAAAATCTTCCTTGGCATACAGCAGTGGCCTCCAACCTTTCCAATTCAGCAGACAGATGCCAGCAGGGAAGAGGCGATGGTTTTGTGTGCATGCCTGCATGCCACTTTCAAAAATGCAGCTTCACACATGTTAGCGCACACGCATCCACCACTTCCACTGCCTGGTTCCTAATGAGCTTAATGGGTTGGAGGCTCCTGGCATACAATACAGATCAAGGAAATAGTAATAGCATTCTACAATCTGCGTAGGTATCAGTGTGCTTCATGTCCTCATATCCTGTTGAGACGCAAGCAACAATATGTTGGTTTGCCATGTCTTCTATGTCAGGATTAAATTTTACCCATGGATGCAGTAGCGACTTCTATTTTCATCAGATGATGGCTGAGAAAGGACAAGATCAGTCCATGTGGTTGATCTCCCTCCACCTCTTTTGAGAAGAACAATCATAACACTTTTCTTCTCAACTCCACTGATATTGGAGCCATGCAAGGCAAATTGGAGTGCAGAATATTTGCCAAGGATACTCATATTTGCTTGTGGTGAAGTCACATACGTTGGAGGGCTACTCTAACCAATACTGGATCTGCACAACAAACACCTTTTTCTGTATTTTAATCTTCTCCTTTCCATTTAACACAAGATAGGACAAAAGAATTGTATCTCTTTTTATCCCTGTGCTACTCTTCTTGATATACTTTTTTCCCCCTTCCGTTCAGTTAAGTCCGATTCTTTGAGACTGCCTTGCCAAGTCCCTGCAGTTTTCTTGGCAAAGCTTTTTTAAAAATACTTTGCCATTGCCTCTTTCCTAAGGCTGAGAGAAAATGACTGGTTGAAGATCACTCAGCTGGTTCTGTGCCTAAGGCAAGACTGGCGCTCATAGTTTCCCTGTTTCTAGTCTGATGCCTTAACCACTCTCAAAGAATTATACAATTGCATTCAAATAGCATATATTAGATTGGGATTTATGTAGATTTACATTTAGATTTATGTAGTTTTATCTT